GAGTGGCCAATCGGTGTTTTGGTTTTTCGTCCGTTATTACTAAGCGTTTCTGAGAAACTTCAAGGAACAGCGTGAGCCCGAGCGTAGCAAGAGCTGGGCATTAACGGTTTACGAGACGTGGCTGACAGTGATATTCAACAGTAAATTGACAAATATTTGCGAAGTACATATAAAATCGGTCTGTGTACACATATAATACACGTATAGAAATTAGATTAAAATGAATGTTTACAGTTGGTATAGGGGTACTACACATACCATCACGAGACATTACGGAATCCCGGTAGCTGACTAGAAGCCTCTCTGGAAATGAGAATACAGAATGAGCTTCAGAAACCTGAGAGTGTTGATCATGAAATCTTTGAAAAATTGGGAGCAATGTGGTGACTGTAAACGGCAACAACACATGTGGACGGATTTAAGACTGACCAAAACCAACCATTCGAATGATGCCGTAGTAATCACGCGGAATTAGTATGGATGCAGTACACCAATCACGTTGCAGATGTCTTCTAGATCTAATATTTCAATTTTGTTTAGATAAAAAGCCCACTCATCAGAAGGGATAAAACTTTTCGGTGTGGGAAACAATGCATTTTCAAATATTTGCAGCCAATATCGATGCGTATGTATACAGATGCACAGAATAATGTAAGTGAAATCCTTTCGAGTAGGTGTGTCATTGTCAGCCACGTCTCGTAAACCGTTAATGCCCAGCTCTTGCTACGCTCGGGCTCACGCTGTTCCTTGAAGTTTCTCAGAAACGCTTAGTAATAACGGACGAAAAACCAAAACACCGATTGGCCACTCGAGAATTCTTTATTACAACACCAACATATAAACAATGTTACAGCTAAGGTCTGTGAACAAATATTACAATAATAAATCACAATATTACTTCTGACGGTTTTCTGCTGACTTCTTTCTGAACAGCGACCGATGAGACGATGACTGTCGTATTGATGCCTCCGCGAGAATATCGGGAAGTTGGTTTTGAGCAAGCAACCATGAATTGATCGTTCAATCTTCATCTACATTGACAGTCGTCTTTTTACGTTTCGTTATGCTTTAGCTACTTGTTTCTGCAAATCAGAGTTGCCTTTTAGAGAAAACTCTCGAGATTAGCCACAAATCGGTCTCGTAAAGACCTGACACAGTAACAGCGTTTGATTTTCGGGATTGCATGGCACAACGTAGCACAATGGATACATGAAGGCGGTAGTTATCCGTAGCGCTAATATTTTATTGCCTACTGTCCAACATTTAGTATTCTCAGGTACGACTTTACACACACGTGACTATAGTAGTCGAAGCCAAATGTCTTCTCAAGGGTTTATTCACAGTGTGATCAATCAATCACTCAATCACATACATGATTTTGTTAATCATTTCGACACCACATACACCGATTCAATCGAGAGGGTTTGTGATCAGATGGTAAAGAGTGCGGTAGAAATAAATGGGTGGTGAAACAGGATGATAGACAGTTGCGCTTTTGTCCCCTGAAAACGCATACATCTATACTGTGATTCCACTCCTGAAGGCAAAGTGGTTACAGTTTAGTTGAATCGACAAACTTTTTCAGCAGTTATGCCCCAAGACCCACGATTACGGAGGGTGAAGTACTTGACATTGAAGGCAGGAATGAAAGTAAGGGAGAACCTCACCTTTCAGGTGCATCCATTGTCTTCCACGAAGTGTGCAAATCAACTTGGTAAGACATGAAAACTGGGCTCAAACCTCCGGTTATGATGGCATCAGTTATTGTAGCTAAATTGTTTAGAACTAGTCCCAAAGTAGGCCATGGAAGCAGCCTGTCTACATGCCGTAGCTGGGTAATTCTGAATCATTGTGACTGGAGAAACCAAGTATTGGGCAGCATTCTAGATTTTATGTTGTTCAGCAGCTGTAATAAATTTTTCTTAGCAGGCACATGACGGTATAGTCTATGTTTGTAGAAATGAGTAACCACATCTTAGTGGATGCAAAAGTCTACTATGAAGTGCTTCGGTGTACTAGTACTTCAAAGTTGTGTGATTCTCGAATCTATGTAGCAAACGCCAAGTCAGATGATTCGGCTTTTCTAGGAAACCTAATTGATGTGGTGATCAGGGAAATATGCACAACATTTGAAATTAGAGGTAATGACATACACACACATAACTTCAGTTTGCACTAGACAGCGACGAAAATCCTCTGGGGTTGAGCAGCAACAATTAATCTGACGGACGACTTATTTGCGGGAATTATAGAGATGATATCGTACGGAAGCAGACCATCAAGGAAGAAGTCGGATTACACTGGAAGTAAAATTAATTCGATGGCAGTTTTTCACAATTTTTCTGGTATAACAAGAGACTTCATACGGCATTTACAGAACTCAAAACTCAGAAGAATGAAAAGTAGATGAGAAAAATATGTGTAAAGCATTATGGGTTTAAGATCTCCAGGTTGACAGTCCAAGTACGATCAAATGACACTATTAATCCTGATTTCGCTTGGTGGAATTCGAATTCAGGGTGAAAGGTGTTTACAAGATTTCGCTTATTAAGCAATACAGAAGAAGGAATAACTAATTAGAATCTATACCCCTTAATTTAGCCTCAAGTATCCTATTTAGAACCCTTATTGATTGATAAAATGATAATAATAACGGTCTGCATCCAGTGTGTCTTACTCTAGCACCTGTATATCACCTCTCTTCTTACCTTCCATTAACGCAAAATTTCATAATTCCCGCATGAATCTGACTCACTATGAGTATATTAAATATTATAATTTAGACTTAAACCAAAATCTTATGTTCTATTCTTATAAAGTTTCTAGAGGTCATTTTCCAATTTTTAATTTCATAAAACAGTGTTCAATTTCAGACTGCACTTGTCTAATATGATCATGCCTGTACAAACGGTATGTGAATCATGTAAATGCTTAATTTATGTGAAATATATTATTATTATTCTAAGAATAACTGAACTTCGCTAGATGATGAATATTTAGTTATGTGTTGGGTACGCTTTATTGCTTCATTTGTAGTCCGGGTGGCTGAGAAAATATGTGTTCATCTATAACCCATCTTTTGTACTTTATTGCCTCTATTGATTTGCAAACCGATAATAGTCAGTTACTGTAAGTTCCTCACTGACAAATTATGTATCCAAAATTCACAGTGTGGTGTCAGTCTATCGGTTATCTTCCAGAATATCAGTGAATTACTTTGGTCGAAGTATTCAGGGCTCGTTAAATTATTTGCCTTCAGGAGACAACCTTAATTATTTTAATTTGGGCACCTGCTGTAGTAGATTTGCTCGTTAGGCGCATATTTGACTCACCTTTGACCAACCACAATTTCCTAATCAGGATTCCTCTTAAACTGCTCAGATGATGGTCGTGCCTGTAAACATGGCATGCATTTTCATATAAATTTATGTTCATATAAAAATATACATTATTATTAGTACGTTTTTCTTACATGTGCCAAACGATGCGTTTAGGCAAGGGGAGTTTAGAAATACTATAGGAATGCACTAGCTCTGTGTAACCAACTGTTATACTATTTCACCTTCGAACCCCATTTCCCCGGTACTTTATTTTTTGGAGTCAAGTGGTGAACAACAACAATGTAGTTTCCGGAGATGGAATGTGTGGAGCTCGGTTGGATTCACGATTTCCTGTGACCCCAGATAGTCCCAACGCCCCATTGAGTGACTGGAAAAATTTCATGGGTTTTAGTGTTAAACTGTCAGTTTCAGAAGTAATCGGTTCTAGTGGGGAACTCTGTTGTTGCACATGCTTTCTTGAGGTTGGACCTTATCTCCTTCTCTGGAGATGACGTTTCTTTCCAACGGTTGACTGCGCCTTTCAAATATTTTCCCCCCCCTCTACAAGGCCGAAAAACATAAGAGGGCACAGAACGGACATAAAGAACCCATAGATGAAATACATCGTCTTCCATTAGGTGTATTGTCACGAACACTTCGGAGTAACCGCCAAATGAGACGTTTATATTTTCAACCAGCTTATTCGTTAGGGAAAGCGATAGAATAAGACACTCAGCGAAATGGAATTAATGGGCTAAAATTTCTTAATTAAATAGAATTTCTGAAAAACCTAATCAACTGCAAGCACCCAAGTGGTCTATCCTCTTAAAATACACACTTCTAATAGGTGTATACCTAAATTCTTCCTTCACTACTGACCATTCTCTCTTCTCTTACTCTTCTGATTACTCCATCCATTCATTTATTTATTTTGTTATTGTTTCAATCATTTTCATTGGTTTTTCGATCATCAAATTCCACCATCTCTGTTTACTCTCTCCTTTTTATGCCCGTGCAATCTTACTATTATCATCACCAATAATATCTATATCTTCAACCGCACCGGATGGCTAATTGGTGAAAGGCCTAACCTGATTCACAGCAGCCACACAGTCTTAACACACCTTATACCACAAACCGCACATAGAGAATCCCCACATCACTCCCTATGGAGTCAACCAAAACTACGACAGCCAAGTTGCGGGACACACTGCACAGAATTTTAGGAGCCTATGCCTTATAACCAAGAAGCAAACACAAAGAAGTCAAATTGGTTTGCACTAGTTCGTAATGAGCGATATTGGATATTGGACGTGTCCTTGAGTGGAAGAAAATCTTTTGATTTGTCAAGGTCGCACACCCATGAGTTGGGATTCACTTCGTCTGCCGGAATATATTCTTAAAGCATTAAAGGATGCTGGCTTGCATACTCCCACACCTATACAACTAAAAGCTATTCCACCTGCTTTGAACAACACCTGTGATATTTTGGGTTCAGCACCCACAGTAAGCAAACTACTGGTCATTATTCATAATGCTTTATTTTAGGGTAGTGGGAAGACCTTAGCATTTGGAATTCCGTTGATAACTCGAATATACTCGTTAAAATGCTCAGAGGTACGTTATCAGAGTGTGACCCGTACGAGTCTCATTAGAAATTAAATTATAGTTGTATTTTCCTGTTCATTTTCACTTGTTGGCTACTATAATTTATCCTCACCCCATATAGTTCCACTAACCACTTCACCAGTTTTTAAGATGCAGCATTCGTGGAGTTAGAAAATGACCTGCTAATTCTTCAAGTTTCTGCTAATTATGTTATATTTCTCACTGGCATTAATATTTGTAGGAATAGTGTTTATATCTTCGATTATATCCAACCCTCTCACTACCCCAACTATATTTGAGTATCTCAACAGTATCCTGATAGGCGATCGCATAAAAACTGGTATTAATTCAACTATTGAGTTGTAGATTACTGCATATCTATTATCATCGTTGGTAATTTGACTGACCACTAAATATTTCCCTGTTGGGATAAATATGAAACATACAAAAGGACTATATTCTGTCCAGTTAGCTTTTTAGTCGTTACTCTAAGGTTCGTTGATTTATTTCTGAAATTTTTACCATCGACTAGAACTTTCTGGATCATATGATGTGTTAAATGTTGGTAATGACCGCATCTATTATAATAGCGATCATAATGACCATATGTTCAATGACTAACAAATTACATGCTGTTGAAGCAGGTAGCGATATGAACAAAAACAGAGTATGCTGTTAACAGTGAGGTCACAATCTCGTAAGATTGAAGTTGTACAACACTAAAGATGAGGCGGAAAGACAGTCAGAGCTTAGATAAAAATACGGCAGTAAAGAAGGAGAAAGGGTGAGGAAGGGTTCCATCAGTTTACTATACTTGCCAAGGGAGAGAAAAAAGCACAGCAAATCTCTTAGGTACACAAAGACTAGGATTGTTCCCTTGAATTGTTACCACCTCGGGTATGCATAAAAGTCTGCTTCGAATTCCACTTGAAAGGTACGATGAAATGCGATTAATGACTTTCAAAGCGCTTCCGTCTATTCCCTTACTGCTATCAGCCAAATGACAAAGTAGAACTTCTCATATATCTTGTTTAATCTTTTCCGAACCATGAAGGAAGATGCCCAGTAATGCTTTTGTTGAGCTGTTTAGTTGTTCGCCCTATATAACAGGAACAGCCTAATTTATAAATGCACACAAAAGTGGTACAGCTAGACAGCTTATCTTTCGCCTGAACAATCCTAATTGGTCGTCTTGAAAATGATAACCTAAGGGTGGCTGTAGTGTAGGTCCGTTTTATGATTCTAGATAGTCTTAGATGTGTAGGACTTCACTAGCCAGGTCCCCAGTGAATTACAGTTTCAGGAAGTTGTTTCTTTATAACCATTGTCCATTTCTTTTTATTATGCTTTGTGTTCATGTGTCTCCTTAGAAATTTAGTAGGATAACCAGTTTGGATCAGCGTATTTTTATCTTTTATTTTATGATTACAGCTTGATTACACACCGTATTTTCTTGTTACAGGTATGGAATTTTCAGTATGTGGTATCGGTAGCCCAAATTTTTGCAGGCCGACCATAGATATCATATGTTCGTCGGCAGGAGATTGAATCCCAGACCATGTGCATGGTCGGCGAGAGTCCTAACCATTGTGACACAGATGTATCCTACTTCATTTTCTAGGGGCCATCGGTACAGATCCTTCTTGCTTTATTCGTGAGACATCTGACCAATTTGGTTTTGTTTCAGATTGGTACAAAATTTAAGAAATATTTGTATTGTTTTACAGACGTAGGTTTTCTATAGACATCTCCTTTCATCTGCTCAATTGGACATCAAGGAAGTGTAGTCTACTATCGTGTTCTCCTTCACAACTGGAGATGAGCGATAGATGTACATCATTAAAGTTTACTAACATTTCACCCTTGTCAGCTTCCTCATCAAGAATAGTAAGCCTACCATCAACATAATGAAAATAAGAATCAATTTTATCTATTACTTGTCTCAATAGACTATTGGTAATGATAAAATCTGTCAAAATTAAACCTGATGGAAGACCCATGGGAATATTGTCAATCTGTTTGTAGTAGATGTTGAATGTGAAGTGTTACGAAGGTGATTGAGTCTTAGAACGATGAGTGATGCTTGAATCTTGAAAAGACGAATGAACCAAGAATTTAGGCTTTATTCATTTTACAATGAAGCCGGAATGGCTTAAACATATAAAGGGAAAAAAAGAGTGTTAATAGCGGTAGAGATATGAATATGATTAGATACGTATTATAAGAAAAGTTCACAACATGAAGCGTCCATCAGAAATGCATCTTAGAAGCAGCTGTTTGAGAGCAGTAATTGGAATTCCGATATCGAACTGTTTTTCTAGTATTTGTTGGCAATTGAAGTCCACAGTCTCCATAAGTGGGGAGCAATAATGTGAAATCTAAAGATAACATTTGCTTCCTGTTTGCATTTATATCGTATAGATAAAAATGAATTCAAAGTCGTCATTAGTACTATGATTAACCCGCTTTTTGCGTAATGGTTATATGAGTCTAACTAGCTACTACCATTCCATGGTAAGTGGAATTGGACATATCTAGAACTGGACAAAGAGGAAGTCCTGGTTTATGTACCTAAGACGAACCATACAACCGTGATGCATAACTTCCTGTTAGTTTTAAGAAAGTTTCCAGTTGCCTCAGATATTAATCCATTTTACTTTAGTGCCTTAAGCGTGTCTGTCGACTGCTTTTCAGCCTTTCTGTTTAAATCTGTTGAGTTTTTAGGCTTTTGGAATTCTGTTTCATCACTTAGAAACCAATTCATTTTTCCAACATACTCACATCTGTTCATCAGTACTACCTCTAGCCTTTTGTCTAGTCAGCAGGTTTCTTCTTGAATAACTCCAGTGTTTATACAGTTGCCAGCTGTCACTGTCAGCTAGTGTAGTTTTAAACCAGGTGAATTCAACGTCTGACGATAGGATCAAGTCTTTTGTTTGTAGAAGGAAGATTTCAACCTGGATGTTGGTATCGAGTTGGTTTATCTTATGCTCTTGGTCATGAAGTTTCAGACCCAATGATGATACCTTCAACTGGATTCTTCCTGGTATAACGCCGAAAGGAATTATAAACATACCCGATACGGGTCTGAAGGGAGATTTTTTCCAGGTTTATATTATCAGATTTCCTTGATTATGTCGACCGAGTTAGCCAAAAACAGAGCGAAAACTTATCGAATCTATCGAGAACCAAAAACTTGAAAAGCATTTACCTTTCCTTTATCGATATATTCATCATTTCTCCAGTGTGTTATACTAGGTAGATATCAGTCTGAGGTATTATGTCACTGCATCTTAAAGTCAACAGTCGATGAGTTTCCGTCGAATTTACAGATCCAGATGGAGAAGTCGGGGACAGAAATTAGGTGTAGTTTTGGTGGTATAGGCTTTATGGATTTTGTAATGAAGCGTTCAAGGTAACCATTTTCAATAAAAACCTGTTTGAAGCACCAAGCACTTCATCAGTGTTAGGACTGTAGGTTTTGTAGATTGTGCAAGTCATTGAGTGGACCAAGTTCCGTTTTGTACATACAGGCGTCTGTTCCATGTTGGCCTTTTGTGGATGGATCTCTTTTTCAATATTTGATTATGGTTTGAAAATTCTGGAAGGTCATTTTTGTATCAGGTTCCTTCCTTTCTAATTTATCCCAGGTTTTTGTTGTGGCATATTAAGAGTTATAACTACCAGGGTACCATGTGGAATATAAGACATCAAGCTTAAGTTCTGAAGTTTAGGTAGCAATTGTTTGTTTTATTTCCATGGGGTGGGAGGTTGGTGGCCTAATGCCCAACCTTCCCTCTTTACTGGTCTGTCTGTCTGTCTTCGACATAGAACTTTGCACCGATGTACAGCAGTTCAAGTCGCCATACTCCCTCCATGTACCACTCAAAGCAACAGAAGAAAGTAGAAGAAATGTATAATAGAGACAGTAAACAGAGGTGTGACACAAAGGAATAGTAATAACGAAGAACAATATAGTTTCATTGGAAATCATAAGTCACAAGGAGTGGATGGATCTGCGTTAGCCATTAAGAACGATTTTGAGCCATATCACCAATTATTTCCAGTCTTCATTGGTTTTTACCATCCCGAGGACCCCAACCAGTCAGTCAGGAAGTCTACATCTTCCTACGTGGCTGGCTGGCTTAAACCAACTGTTATGGATTTCGTTGACTGGTGCCATGTTTTGGTTTGACCGCCGCTAGCTCTTTTCCAATCTGACCCATCCTATGTCAGCTAACATTGCCCGTTGTTGTGAAAGGCGATGACTAGTCATGCATGCGTAACACATGTTCTAACCATCTCAGCCGATGTAGCTTCACAGCCTCGTCGATTGCTTTCCCCTCTTCCAACCCCCTCAACCTAGCACTCGACCGAGGCCTAACCTCAATATTACTCACATTATTATACCACTTCATACGGGGGATAGAATGCAGGCACCTATAATCGAAGACAGCTACCCAATCTTTTCATGTCCTCAACTCTCTCTGAGCTTATTATTGGCTAAACGATGTTTGGGAGTGTGTCGACCGAGGTTTGAACCCCGAACCATTTACGTGGTTGGTGCATCATGCATTCTACCACTACACTACCGCCGACGCCAATAGAGCGTCTTGATATCTCCTTATTATTCTGTATCCTTACTGTTGTTCTTATTACAAAGTCAAATGTTTCTTATGTGTAGTTTCACTAATTTGTCTGTCTTAGAATCACGTTTGTAATGAAGAATTGACAATGGAAGATCCTGCTTCCCATATCGATAAGAAACCAGAACCAGAATGTTCCGAGGAAAATTTGTGTATCGAACCCCAACAAAGAAAAAAAAGACAGACAAGAAAAAGAAGAAGAAAAAGAAAATGGTCGACATTTATTCTGGTCTAGATGTTATCGAGGAGTTGGATGCTGATACTGGAGAAGTTCGTGCAATGCATTCACTCGCTAGTGTTTCAACAACATGTCCCGAAACGCTTGAATCAACTGAACCACCTGTGTCTTTATCTGTACAGATGAAAGCGAATCGTGTCTATGGGCTTGTTCTAGTTCCCACACGAGAATTAGCTATTCAGGTAAGAAGCTTAAAGATTGTTGTGTTACATTTGATTTTATTTTGATTTACAGCTTGATTCCACACTGTATTTTTGGTACAAGTATGGAATTTTCAGCATGAATATCGGTAGCCCAAATTTTGCAGGTTGACCATAGATATCAGGTGTGCGTCGGCGCGGGTTCGAGCCCCGGACCATGTGCATGGTCAGCGAGAGTCCTAACCACTGTGCCACCGATGCACATATTACCCTTTTTTTGTGGTTTTTTGGTTTACTTTATATTTATTATTATTATTTTTTATTCCGCATCGATTTCGACTGGGACACCGGGCTTCAACAACACATCTCTCTTTCATCTTGTTGTCTTCAGTCCTCCACGAATACACATAAGCTCTCACTTCCTTCTCACACTGTCCCCTCCATGTCACGTTCGGATGCCCTGCTCACTGTTTTTCGTTCAAGTTTCATTCGACAGCCTGGCTCAAGATGTCACTCAGCGGTTTATTCAACGTGTTTCTGATCCATCTCCATTTTCTTCTGTATATTTTTTCGGCAATGGGTTGGTGGTTATTTCATTGTTATAGTTCCGTGTTGCTAATCCTTTCTGACTGCCATCTCATCTTCAGTATCGAGCGAAGGCAACTGTTAATAAAAGTTTGCAATGGCCTGTTGGCAATGCTTTTCTTGATGCACCAAGTTTCTGTGGACCATAAGGAAGCACTGATCTGATTAACTTGACATTTAGTGTTGAAAACCGGAATCTTGTTCTTTATACTAAGTACAGCGGATTTCTAGACTGATTTCCGAGTTATTATTATTGTTATTATTCCCTTGCATTCTGAGTGGAACATTGGTCTTCAACAACACGTCTCGACTTTGTTCTGTTTTCTGCCGTCCTCTTCAGCTGGGTCCACGATTGGCCAAACTCTCTCATCTCTCTTCTTCACACGATCTCCTCCATTTCACCCTCACACTGACGATCCACTCGTCGCTCCCCGTTTGGATTCCACTCGAGCACTGGCCTGGCGTGCAATGTCATTCAGTAGTGGCCTCCTCAATGTATGCCCGATCTATCCATCAATCGACGAGGCTATAAAGTTACATAGACTAAGATGGCTAGGTCACGTGCTGCGCATGCCTAACCATCGCCTCCCCCACCAGACGGGCATTACTAGCTGATATAGGTGGTGCAGGTTGGAAAAGAGTAAGTGGTGGCTAAACAAAAACATGGCCTCATCAATCCATGAAATCCTTGACAGTTAAACTGAGTCAGTCAGGTAGGGTAGGAGATGCAGACTTCCGGGTTGGTGCCCTCGAGACGCTAAGAATGAATGGCTGGAGACAATAGGTGACATGTCTCAAAATCGTTGTCAATGGCCAGCGGAGATGTATTCAGTCTCTGTAATCTTTCATATTTCTTTCTACCATTACCCATTCTGTTTCACTCTTATACATGTCAAACTCTATTGATTCTCTTCACTCATCTTCTTGTCTACCTTTGTGTGTGTGCTATTTGGAACGTGGCAACTCGAACTGATGCACTTCGGTGCCAAGTTCTATGTTGAATCCAGACAGACAGACTATTTTTCCTACATATTGGTTGAGCAGTCGGTTCTTGGCTGGTGTATTCCCAGCCTTATGCTTTTCTTGTACTTTCCTCTCTTGCTTCGCGTGCTACACGGAGTGTGGCGACTTGAACTTTCGCACATTTGTGTATAGTTCTATGTCGAAAACAGACAGACAGACAGACAGACAGACAGTATTCCCAGCCAGAGTTTCATGTTACTTATTCTTTCTGACCATGCGATCTTCAGTATGGTTCCAGTGAAAGCAGCTGTTTATGAAGTCTGCAATTGGCTGTTGGAAATCCTTTTTGTGACACAAAGTGTAAGTTCTAATCCTTATAGTAGGACCGACTTGGGATTGGTGTTGAAAATCCGAATCGTGTTCCTTATGTTGAGTGTAGAAGATTTACAAATTAGTTTCAGGTTGATGAAGGCGTATCCTACACTTCCGATTCTGACTTTGACATTTTCATCCGTTACAGCTGTCTGTAGTTGAAACGATGTTTCCTAGATAAGGGAGGGAAGTACCCTCTGTTAAATCTCTCCCGTTGATGGGGGGGGCGGGGTGATTTGTGCTGGTTGCTGTTGTTGATGTTAGCTGGTTACCTTCATCACCTCCGTCTTCTCTCTATGTTGACTTGGAGTCCTGTCTTCTCTGCATCTTCAACCAGTTTGTTGGTTTACGTCTGTAAGTCTTCGAGTTCGTGTGACTTCAGATATATGTCATCTGCGAAATCCAGATCTTCTAGAGTCTTCTCATCTGTAATTCAGCGTGCTCCTGTCTCCTCTCTCTCTCTCTCTCCACAGTCTGATCCATAATCCAGTCCACCCCAATTAAGAATATCAACGGTGATAATAGGCTGACAGCCTTTTTTTTTTACTCCTGTGTTCACTTCGAATGCCTCTCTAAGTTTTTCGTTGTGGATCACCTGGCAAGTTGGAATTGTCATATAGCCAGCTGTTGAATGAGGCACTGCACGCCAGAGTTTTGAAGTAGTAGTTTCCAAATTACTTCTCGGTCAATAATGCGCTGTCGAAGACCTTTTCGATGTCGATAAAGTTTAGGTAGAGTTTTGACTGCTATTTTATGCTTTGTACAATGACGATGCGTAAAGTTGCAATTTAATCAGCACATGGTATATCTTTCCTGAATCCAGCTTGTTCCGGACGGAGTTTTGCACGCAGTGCATCTTTTATTCTCTCCAAGATGACACGACTTATTATTATACTTGGCGTGGACAAGAGCATTATTCCACGCCAGTTAGTTCTTGCACAGACTTTATTCGCCCTTCTTTGACAGCTTGATGAGAGGTAGCCTATCTTCCAAACAGTAGGTACCTTTCCTTCTTTCCAAACCTTTTGCAGTAAAGGCATGAGTACATCTGCTGCAGTCTATGGGTCCGTTTTCACTGCTTCCAGGGAAAGTCTGTCTGGTCCTGCTGCCTTCCTGGCTGGACTTCGATAGCTTGACCACATTTAGGATTTCTGCTTTTGTTGGAGGATTGGTGTCCACTGGCAGGTGTGTGTATGCTGTTGGTATTTCCGGGCAATTTGCAGGTGATAGGTGATTCAAGTGTCCTTTCAAGTGATCAGCCCATTGTTTGATTTGTTCCTCCTTCTTGGTAATCAGGTTCCCTTGAGGATCTTTTATTGTTTTCATCATCTGGATTAATCTCTTCCTCGATAGAGACCTGGTTATCTGGTATAATGAATGTTCTGAGGTCTCTTTTACCTGCAGCCTGTTCTACTTCAGTTTTCAGTGTGTCGTAGAATTGTCATTTGTCTTTTCTAGCACTCTTTTTTTACTTCTTTATTCAGTGCAGTGTACATTGCACTCAGCTTATCTTTCTGTTTTGCATCTTTTCATTGTCATCTTCTCTTTAGCCATCCTCCTCTCTTCAATTAGCTTCCAGATATTCGTTGAGAGTTATTCCTTGTTTCATCTCTTCCTTCTTTCTAGGACAGTTGTACATGTTTCCTTGAATATCCCCTTCAGAGAGTTAGCTCCATTGTTCTTCCACACAGGCTTCCTTGGTGATAACACCTAGTGTCTCTGACTTTGCTCTAATGTGATCTGTAGTGAAGGCATCCCTTGTAGTTTTGTCCTTCAGTTTCTGAACGTTGAACGTGAATTACATTGACCTGTCTTCATTTGTTTTCATGGCTTTTAGCCTCACCTTGAAGGTTCCTTGAACTAGATAGATAATGGTCTGAGCCGACATCTGCTCCTCTTCTCGACTTTGTATCCAACAGACTAGCTGCATCTCCACTTCCATGAGCAACATTGAAATGAAGCCTATTTAGTTTGTGATACATCTGTCTGGCGAAATCCATGTTGCTTTGTGTATATCCTTGTGTTTGTACACGCTCCCTCTGATCACCAAATCATTGAAATATAAAAAAAAATCCCCATTTAAACATTTTGAAAAGTAAATATTTCTTCGCTCAATCTTTCTGTTTTCTAAACCATTGAAAGCGCAGAAGTCTGAAAACAATTCTCCGTTCTCATTGATTTCTACGAGCACCAGTCTCTCAACCTATGATGAATTCTCTTCCTGCATTATCTCCTCCCAGTTCGGCTTGCATTCATATCGCCAATGAGGATTTTGATGTCGCCATTTAATATGTTGTTGTCCATCACTGTATTATGTACTCGTCGCCAAATTATTGTTATGTACTGGTCGAGAATTTAATAGTCCTGACTCAAGAAAGACGGAAATCAGAAGACCACTAGGTTTGCGATGATACTTCTATTTTCCAAAACACCAGGAGAATCAATGTTACACAAGTGTGTGAGAGCAAAATATGAATATCCGAACAAGTGTGTGAGCGAATATTCAAAATGAACAAATCAATAGACAGTCTCAACATGATTGGCTAATCATAATGGAATGTCGATCCATTTATACATAGTAAAATATAACTGACTGTCAAACAAACACACATACTATATATAATATAAGGGGAATATACATTGTTAAAGGAGACAGGTTCATCAAAGTGAAATGGTCACAGACTAAGAGAGCACAGAAAGAGAGACCACCATATATATATATATGGATACATATCACACTGTTTGTAGTTGTCTGTAAAAAGCCTCCTTGTCTTGTTCCACGTTGTTTGTAGCACTGTGTGTAGCATTGGATAATTGTAACCTTCCTTCCTTCCTTCCTTTGGAGTTGAATCTTGCTATCATGATCGTGGATGATATTGTTTCCCACTGCGTTATGGATTTGGCTGCCACTGGCGACGTCATTATGGCCACTCACTACCTCATTGTGTTCGTGGTTGTCGTCTGGGTGACCGGAGTAGACTACTGACTCTCTCGCTGACAATATTGTTAATCCACATCCATTCCATCTGCTTTCACAGATACCCAGCACTTCCATACCATATCTTCGTATTTATTTGGCTACCTGGGCAGCCAATCTCGCACATTTTACGGACACTTCAATC